GGATTTGTTACAGTTTGTACTGGGAAGAAGGGGAGCTGGAGGCTTTGTGGGTTGCTTCTAAATGCTCATCTTCATTAAACTGACAGACTGTAGCACTGTGTGACCCAGCTCCTCAGAGCTATTGAAAAGTAAGGGTACATATGTACACAGGCCCAAAACATGCAAGCCATGGCCTTTCAGATTGACATTGTCAGATGGGAATTAAACCTAAAGCTCTTCAAAGTTGTCTCATGTTTGCATAAGTGTGTTTGTTATGTTTGCATGTAGGGAGAAAAATTCAATTTTATGTTACAGGTTCAAAAGAAGCCCTTTGCATATTCTGGTAATTCTACAACAGTTATTTGAGGTGAATCTCTGTTTCTTTTTCCCAGTTAAAAGAAATGGAGCAGTCTCATCAAGAAGCTACAGAAAAAGAAGTAGAGAGGATCTTGAGAATACTGCAAACTCATTTTGAAAATGATCGTAAGTATGATGAAATTCAGCATTAACTAGGGAGAATAGAATATTCTCTGTCTTCTACAATTTGGAGTGGTAAAACTGCAGAGACAAAATGAGATGAAGTCTGCAAGTAGATATCTTTGGTGAAGCACAAATACCAACTATGTATTTTTTATGAACACTAATCAGCTGTTGTTTGACTGCAAAGTAAATGTAAATCCTCTCTCCTGATTAAATTCTGCCACTTTTAGATGGCAGTTAAATAGTCAAATATATGGATTTGTGTGGGGGAAATGATGGAAGAAAATAATACACTACATAATCTACTCTGTACATAACATAATCTGTTACTGCAGGCAGCTGGGAATTCTGGATTATAACTAAATTGAAAAACATCCCTTCAGCTTTTGAAAGGTGCACTGGCTCTCTTAAGTTTGTATTTACATCTGCCAGCTCTGTGTATACCACCTGTTTGTTTATTTGTTTGTTTGAACAAAGGTATTTTTGCATCCCCAGCTAATACACCCATTTCCTTCTTTGATTTTGTGATTGATCCGAACTCGTTTGCACGGACTGTGGAAAATGTGTTTCATGTGTCCTTCCTTGCCAGGGTAAGGCATGACATCTTTTAAAAATATCCCTTTAGATACTAGAATTACCTAGAAGTACTGACCTGGGTTTTTTCCTGGCTTTGATATTGAAGAATTAGGATTTAAGTAGTAGGAATATGAATTTATTTTCTGCAAGCAGAACTGGTAATCAAATTTGTAATCTTTGATTACTTTGGTAATCAAATTAAAAAGGAAACAGAGTTGACTGACTTTATTTTTTTGCACTGCAGTCAATTTACCAACAAAACAGCAGTGATATTTTTGCAGTCAATATGTTTATCAAAAAAGATTCTGGCTCACTTTTTCTGCACATGTAGAAAAATTCTCACAGAGTATGGAAGAGTTACTGAGGCTGTAGAAAACTATGTTAGTGCAAGGTTTTATATTCTTTTTGAATCCAGGAATTTACACTTCAAAACTGTGCTTAGTTTGACTAATAAATAAAATTAATTATGGAAAAAATGAAAACTACCAAGGATATTTTGACTAATTCCAGTTTCATGTTGAACAGATACATTATTATAAAGGGTTAGCTTAAGTATATTTAGAGAATAACAATGATTTTAATAAAGCATAACTTTTATAATCCAGCAGTTACACATTGTTGCTATATGGACTGCCTTATTTATGCATAAGTGCTGTATTAAATTAAGTTTTTTCTTATGTGCTATTCTTTATCAGTATATGTACCTGTTCATGATTATGTAATAAGTAAAAATACGAATTTTCAGTACATTCTCCTAACTGGAAAACTCTTAAGTCATAAAACTTTAAATCCCACTGTTGTTTAGGATGGTCTTGCAAAAATAAAGCTGGATGAAGATGAATTGCCAATAATAGGTAAAATACAGCTTTAAAATACTCTAATTGTAACAACATTACATATTACATGTTCACAAAATTTTAGGTATATTTTTAACTGGGGATATGCAGTGAATGTAATTGAAGGTATGAAAGCATTTATGGGCAGCTGAAAGGATTGAATCTTTTCAAATATTAATATATGAAAAAGACCATACAAATTAATTCCATTAATAGAAATCAAAGGTTATTACCTTTCAAGATATATTTTTGCTAATAAGTAAATGAACATTATTGCACTTGGCTGAACAAAGACATCTTTGGGTGTAAGAACTCTCTGTCTCAGACTTGGGAAGTGCTGCAGCTTCAAAACAGTTGGAAAAGGAAATCCTTCATTCAAGGTTGAATGAAGAATTCATTCTCCATTCTTCATACAAGACTGGCTTTCATTCCCACAGGATATCAATGGGGTTAAGACTTTGGTGGGATATTGTAAGGAATGAAATATTTAGGTCCTCCTGAAAAAAGTTAGTCCTAAGTTTATAAGATGGATAACTATGAAAGTATCTCAAGCAGTACATGGTACAGGCTGCTGATAGAAATTAACTGGGTGGAATGTGTAGGACTGATCTGATTTTTGTGAAGCTTTTGTGTGGAAACTGACTTGACAAGTGTAAATCCTGAGAATGCTGTGTTTGGATCAGAGCCTGTCAAACCCAGCGAGGGAGGGGAGGAGGAGAGCAGAGCTGCAGCACGGAACCAGGTGATCATAAGTCTGGACCAGAGAGAATGGAAGGTACCACGGACAGCACTTCATCCTTGGGATCAGTTCTTTTTTATTTAAGCCTCTGAGAGCTGTGCTGGGGAGGGCAGCTGTTCTGTGTGCAGAAACACTGCACTTCACCTTGTGGATGCCAGAACAGTCACAGATCTAAGGGATGGTTGTAGCTGCAGGAAAAGTGAGAATTTGGGTTGTGATGCCATCTTTGATTCCTGAAGCCTGGTCAGTTTAGGTGCTTTGAAGCTGTGCACTGGCTTCACTGTTTTATACAAGGCCTGGGTACATATGGGATCTGTTTCTTCCCTAATACACAATATTTATGTCTGGAGGTAAAGTTACCCATGTAATTTCCTCACTGTTTGTAATAAATCTTAGATAAAAAGTAGTTTTGAGCACACATACTTCTTCTCCTTTGTCCCTCACTCAGAATGTGCAGCAGAAATGTGGTAATTTGAAATAGTACTTTAGTATCAGAAACTTTATTAATGCTTGGTGGTAATTAAATTGAAATAGTTAATCTCTGCTGACTGACACACTGCTGTCATCTCTAACCAGGAGATCATAGAAGCATTTCAGATAACAGAAGCTATGATTACCCCTCTTTATCAGAGCACTGAAGAAGAAATGGAGACAGAGTAACTATTCAAGTAAGTTCTTTTAGCACAACTCAGTAAGCTCCTCAGGCACGTGGGAGAATTTCAGGGAATCTGTGTGTGACAAATGCAAAAGAACTATAAGCAGGGTGTCTGTAACACCTGGAATTGCTGTGTTCTTGCCCTCTTCATGAAACAAAATGTCATCTAGCCTTGTATGCAATGATTAACTGGGGAAAAAACCCCCTTTATTTTTGAGTTTGATGGTCGGTTAAGTGATGAGTTATTTTTTGGAACTTTATACTCAGAATGCAGTGTTGGAAAGAATCATAGCTTAGTTTTTCTGTTTGGATTCTTAACTTCCTGACAGCTGATGTTGTTAATAAAGTAGTGTGAAGAAGGACTTAGAGGGAACCAGGCTGTCTTTCCCTTCTGCTTCCATAAAATTCTTCCAGTGATTGGACTGAAGTCCTGTCACAGTTGTTTGGTTAATTCCAGATCCTAATGCATATTATCTCACTGCTTTCTCTTTTTTGTTTTTCTTTCCCCTTAGGTGCCTCAAAGAAAATACTTCAGGACATTTCTTCCAACAACTGTTTTATATGTATATGTTGTAAAATTAAATATATTTTTTCTGGAACATCTCAATGCTTTATATGAGCTGCTTTGTTTTGAACCATGGAATGGGTTGGGTCAGAAGGGACCTTAAATCCCACTTAGTGTCACCCATGCCATGGCAGGGACACCTGCCACTATCCCAGGTTGCTCCAAGCCCTGTCCATCCTGGCCTTGGACACTTTGAGGGACCCAGGGGCAGCCACAGCTGCTCTGGGCAACCTGAGGCAGTCTAGACTTGTCACAGAGTTTTTGATGTATTATGGCTCAGTTTGCTACTTCATATGAAGTTTACTGTCACTCATGAAAAAGGTAAAAAGCAAACACTGTCCCTTCTTCACTCTCTTGTCCTACCCCAGCAGCAGCAAGTGGAATTCACATGGTTAAACATTCCTGCTGGGACAATCTTGCTATCCTGTATGATTTTGGGTGCTGCAGGAGAATGGATACTGCCCTGCTGTTCTTGCTACTCTGGAAATAAAGGTTTGAGTTTGGAAATCCGGTCTCAATTACACATAGCAGTTCCCCCTTCGTTTATTCCAAATTCCTCCTGTATTTGTTTTGCTCTATAGGGCCAGAACATTATTTTATTAAAAGTACTTGTATGGAAGTCTTGTTCCTTCTCAGAAACCGCTCTGTGGAAGAGCTCACCCACCCTTTTATCCTGCTGTAGAGGGTACACAGGGCTCCATCTCCCAGGAAGGGCTGTTGGAGCGTGTTTTTGGGGCGAGGAGCTGATCAGGCCGGGAGGGTGAGGGGGGACACGGCTGAGGAGCGCCAAAGCCTCAGCGATCTCCGCTCTCCGATCCGCCCGCGGGGGAGGCTGGGCCGGGCCGGGCGCGGCGGCTGCGGCCGGGCAGGGGCGCTGTGGGGCTGCGGGGCCGCCGGCGCCATGCCCGCCGCCGTGGTGGAGTACAAGGGATGCAAGGAGGGCTACGGCTGCGGCTACTGCGGCGCGGCGCGGGGCAAGGTGTCCGCGGGTGAGCGGGGCTGGGGATGGCGGCCGGGCCGGGCTCGGGGCTCCTCCGGCCCCGCCGCGCTGCCCGCCCGAGTCATGGCGGCCGCGCCGCTTCCTGTGCGCGCCGCCCGCGCGCCGCCCGCAGCAAAGATGGCGGCGGGCGCCGCTTCCGGGCGGCCCGGGGCTCTGACCTGAGGCGGGCGGGGATGGCGGCGGGCGGCGGCTCCCCGAGCATCGTCGAGTTCTTCGGCGGGGAGGATGGCTACCGCTGCGGCTACTGCAGGAGCGACACCGGCAACATCTCGCACGGTGCGGGCGGGGCGGGCTGGCAGCGAGGCCGCCCCGGGCTGGCCGGGAAGCGGCGGCTGCGGGGCCGGGGAGGGCGGCCGAGACAGGCGGCGGCTCGGCAGCAGCTCCCGGCAGCCGAGCCGAGAGATCGGAACGGCTCCTACGGCCCGGTGCTCCCCACTGAGTGTGACAGAACTGAGCAGCGGTTCTGTGCTGTTTTCCTTGTATATTTCTGGGGAGTGGGAGGTGCACAGGGCAACTTAGCGCTGGTGCGGTCAGAGAAATGGTTAATTGCATCCCGGGATTTGTGTTGGGCTTAGGGTTTTCACATTTCATGTGATTATTGAAATCAGTAATTACCATATTTAAGAATATGTCAGATCCCTATGCATAAGTGGCCATTAGCTACTCAGATTTGCAGTAGCCGCAGGATCACAGGATGGTTTGGGTTGAGAGGGACCTTAAAGCCACCCAGTGCCACCCCTGCCATGGCAGGGACACCTTCCACTGTCCCGGCTGCTCCCAGCCCTGTTCAACCTGGCCTTGGGCACTGCCAGGGATCCAGGGGCAGCCACACCTTCTCTGGGCACCCTGTGCCAGGGCGTTTCCACCCTCACAGCCACGAATTTCCTCCTATTATCCCATCTAACCCTGCCCTCTGGCAGTGAGAAGCCATTCCCCGTGCCCTGTCCCTCCATCCCTTGTCCCGGTCCCTCTCCTGGAGCCCCTTCAGGCCCTGGAAGGGCTCCGAGCTCTCCCTGGAGCCTTCTCCTCTCCAGCCTGTCCCGGAGCAGAGGGGCTCCAGGCAGTTCTGCAGAGTTTGTTGTATTTTACAGACAAACCACGGTCAGTCAAGTGTGCTGCTGTTGTTTATTTCAGGTATGTGGGCACATTCGATGACAGTTCAAGATTACCAGGATCTCATAGACAGAGGATGGCGAAGGTACATTGAAAAAGAAAATACAAAGCCATGTTGTCAGTTGATATAACAGTTAGAATCCACATTTAAATTTAGAATCCACATTTAAATTTAGATCTATAGATACACTTACATATCCATGAGTAATTGAACTATTTGTCCAGTGCTCTGTTACCTTTTGTAACATGACTTTCAAACAGGGAAATATTCTGTGATTTTAGAAGGACAATGCAGTCAGCAAAGAACTGAAGAACTTGCTCTTTGATATTTCATCGTGACATGTTTTGATGTGATTTTTATAAAAAAGCTTCTTCATTTGTTTTGTAATATAAACAACAACAAAAAAATCAATGCATATTTATTACTCTTTTCAGAAGTGGAAAATATGTCTACAAACCTATCATGAATCAAACATGTTGTCCTCAATACACAATAAGGTAAGACACTCAAAGTACACTTTGGTAAGGGATTTGACCACTTCAAATATGTTCCACCATTTGTGTTTGCTGCTTGAAATACATCATATTTGAGGAGTTAATCTACTTTTAATGATACTTTGAACAGTAAATATGTGCTCTTGGGTTTGTGCATAGGGACTTCAGCAGCTCTGGGATATTTTCCTGTAAGGAAATAACCTTATCTGTAACCCACAAACACTGTTTTAGCAGCCTAAATAAGAGAGGCTTACATTTGTATTTTAGTAATTCTAGAGGTACACATAAAAAGCATGCCCTGAGGACTGATATTATTCAGTAGAAGACAATGTAATTTCATTATCTCAAAAGTGTTGATAAAACATTTGACCACTCAATATAGAGAACCTTAAGAAATAAATCGAGATTACAATGTAATTTTTGTAAGTGGTTGCTTAACTTTTTTTTTTTTCCTTAAACAGTCTTTCACAAAAAAAAAGTTCTTTTTGTTCTTTTTTAGGTGCCAAGCTTTGCATTTTCAGGCCTCCAAGTCCCACAAGAAGGTTCTGAAGAAAATGTTGAAATTTATTTCCAAAGGAGATGTTTCAAAGGTAGCGAGTGAAGGTAAGAAACACTGAGTGAAAACCAATGCTGATGTGTGGAAGGAGGATTTCAATACCTGCTTGAGTGGTCAGATGGCAAGTGGGCTTTGAATTCTGTGTGTAAACCCCTGGCTGGGCTGTGTCTTGAGCACTTCAGTAGCCCAGAAACCAAATTGTTCAGGGGGCTGGGGTTATTGGAGAAAATATTTCCTTACTTTTTCCATATACCAGCTCATTTTCCTGGGCATGTCCTCACTTTCTAGCTGGGTGCTGCAGAGAATTAGGTGCTGTTTTTACTTTTATCATGAAACTGATAATCTGGAGAGGACTAACTGGTGGCACAAAAAAGGAAGAGCAAACAGAGAGGGATTTTCCAGTTACCTTCCATTTATACAGCATCAAATCCAGCAGTTCTTTGTGCTGGTGAAACTTGTATTGGTTCTGAATCATTATAATCTGCCTCTTTTGTATGTGTGGTATGCCAGATTTGTTTGTTATTTGTTTGAAATAGTTTATTTGTTATTTATTTGATTGTTATTTATTTGAAATATTTGAATGTTCAGTTTTAGTGGAGGAAATAAAATTGTTCTCATAAATGAATTGATGTTCATAGTTCAGGATCATAAAGGAAACTCTGTGTTCAGACTGTTGAAATACTGTGGGAAAACACTTGTAAAATTGGAAACTAGTTAGTTTGGTACTAATTTTAGTTGTGAAAAATGTGAGCTGTGTTTGTACAGAGAGAAATTCACTCATGCAGGTTTTAATTCTTGACAGAAGAGCCGATGGATTCCCATATAGAGGATGTGGCCACGTGTGATTTTGCATACAAAAGTGAGTCTCGGGTCAGTCAGTCTGACCTGACTCCCTTGGCTGTGGATCAGGCTGAGAGGGTGGAGAATGAAGACGAGGACTCAGGAGAAACAAAAGAAGAGGGGAATGTGCAGAAGGTGGAATCGGATTCTGTTCAGATCTGTGCAGACAAGGACACCCCAGTCCCTGCAGAACCATCACATTCAGCTAAAGCTGTTCATGCACCACCCAAGCCAGGTAATTTCTGCTAGTCATTGGAGTATGCTCTCATCATTTCACATCTTCTTGAAATCCCTTCTTTTTACCTTCCTTACTAAATTAATAATTGTTTGGTTTTATTCCCTCTGCTCCTCCCAGTTTATGGAATTACAGCATAAAAATTGAGCGGTGCTGGATGTCATTTGTAATATTGTAATTTATATTTTGTTACATGAAAAAGTTATATTTATCTTCTTTTCCTCACCTTAAGTAAGACTGAATCTTTAAGATCTGAAGCTAAAGAGGGGAGATTTAGATTAGAAACTTTTTATGATGAGGCTGGGGGTGCCCAGAGCAGCTGGGGCTGTCCCATCCCCATGTTAGATGGGATTTGGAGCAGCCTGGGACAGTGGAAAGTGTCCTTTCAAAGGTCTCTTCCAGCCCAAACCATTCTGTGATTCTGCCTTCTCTTGGGACATGGGTGATTTCTGACAGGAAGATAGTAAAGAGTGGGTAGATTATTACCAGAAAAAAATATTTAAGGTAGAATTGCTGACAGACACTTTGTGGCCCAGAGGCTACAGGTGAGGCAGCCTTGTCTTACAGATCTTGTTTCTCATTTTGTGTAGCCTGTTCTAGCAAATAAAGGGAATTTCCTTCATTGTGGTGTATATGGTAGGGAAAATCCTACTGGAAACTTGTGGCTTTAGAGTTTCTGCCTGTGTTGGGACATCCTAATAATTCCTGTTTTCACTCACCTCTTGCATGTTGTGCCAGTATGTAGGAGAACAAAGTACTTCTGTCTTTTTCTGTAGCATTGCTGATTTTAAGTGAAATAATGTTTTTTCCTTAATAACCACTCATCCCTATTGTATCTGATTTTCACCAGCTTAATAAACAATTTTTGCATCTGAATAAAAGGAAAATTTTCAGAAATACTTGCTCAGAGAATCAGCAGAGTTGCATAGAAATACTACAGAAATTTTAAAACCGTATTTAGTATTTTGATCTTTTACAACCCTTATATAGTTTGTTGTTCATATCAATTTTGTTGTGCAAATTTTCAAAGCTCTCCTGTTTTAAATAATAAATTAAAAACTTTGGCCTATGTAAACTTAGTATTGGAAGGAAATGAAGTGGCTGTAGACAGCAGATGGCAGACTTGGGTAAGGAATAGAAGTGTAAAAACCTGCCAGTGCTTTGGAAAAGGTGAGGTAAGGTCTTCACTTAGGTTAAGAATAGCTTTGAATCAAACTTTAATAAATAAATGCAGATAAATAACATTGAAGGGCATTTCAGGAAAAAAAGGTTTAATTTTACAGAGCAGAAATATTCATTCGTGTGCTTCTTTCTGCTGTTTTTAAAGATAGAAGTGAATAATAAGTGCATCAGAAGCTTATTTAATTTTTTTTTTTTTAATGCTAGCTGGTGTCACAGGTCAAATTTAGTTTAAAATTTTCCAGATAGAAAAATGTTTAGTTTTCATCTTGGAAAATGTAGACTTAGTCAGTAATAAGATTGTTTAATTGCATTTTTATTCCTTTATAAACAAAACAGGTCATTGTCCTCTAGGAATAATGGTCTGTTTCTGCACAGCTTCAGATAGAAAAGAAGGTTTGCTTATATCTCTGTAGGCACAGTCACTGCTTGAAGAAGTTTTTCTTGCTAAGTTACAGCTTACAGAAGATCCAAGACATGAAACAGATCCCGATACAGATGAAGTACTCATTCTTCAAATACATCATGAGCGTTTTAAATAAACTCTTCCTCTGACTTGTTTGCCTAAGGACAGGTCACACAGTGTCTGCAATTCCCTCATGCCTTTGGATCTGTGTTGCTTTACAACTCACAGTTCTTGTATTAGTAAGGAACAAATGGATCAAGGTGGGAAACAGTGCATGGGTTTGACTTCTCCTTTCAGCAAATACCACTTCACAAACAGAATTCTCTAAATGACTCATCTGTTAAACTGCAAAAAGTGAATTTATTGATTAAAACAGACAATCTGAAGATAGTTTTAAGCAAATATGCAAATTTGCGGCCTTTTCCATTACGTGACCATAATAGCATTGGCAGCATTTCTACATCCTGCCTGTGGATTCTGGGCTTTATTTTGGGGTGTGTGTCTTTACAGGAGTCTGTGCTGTAGCCACACACACACATACATGGGCTTTGAATGCAGAAGACCAGTTCTCTGTGATTTTGTGGTTGTATTTCATGTTTTTAAGCACACCCTTGGCTTTGGGGTGAAATGGTCAAGGTGACTCCAGATTAGTGCTGCAGTAAGAAGCTGTGGGAGAATCACTGCATCAGTGTTGCATCAGGTGTTGGTGGCTGTAAGTGTGAAAGGCCATGCTGAGTTCAGAGCCCAGGCTGCAGTAAATGGTGATTTTAACCATTTCCTTCCAGTGATGAGGTGAGAGCTGTTTGCTGTCAGGTGTGGTGTTTAACTCTGCCTGTGCCCTCACAGGGAAAGGGGCTGATCTGAGCAAGCCCCCGTGTCGGAAAGCAAAGGACATCAGGAAAGAGAGAAAACTCCAGAAGCTCCTGCAGAACCAGATGGGCACAGCAGAAGGCTCTCAACTTCAAGGAGATCAAACTTTCCTCTTGCAAAACTCTAAATCTAAAACAAACCAGCCTAAAAACATTGAAGACTTTGTTTTTGTCCCTCTACCTGATGATGCACGACACAAATTAGAGGTAATCTCTTGTTCACTGTTGTTGGAGGCAGATGAAGGAAAGGTCCAGTTAAGGAGTTTTTGAAAAGCTAAAAGTGTGTATTTATGGCTTTATGGAGTTAAATCTTGAAATATATGTGGTACTGAATGATGTATATTTATTTTTATATATATAGATATATATATAGATGTAGGTACAGATAGATATATATAACTATATATAGATACATATATATAGATATATATATAGATATGCATCATAGGAGTGTGTGTATATATATATATATGTATGTATATATATGTATTTATATAAATTACACACTCATGGTGCAGCTCCACTCCTTTTAACCACAGGAGGGTACTCTTGTACTGCAATGTGCTGGCAGTACAGTTACTAAAATAACTTGCAAATTTATTTCATACAGAGTGACTTGAAAATGAAAAAAGTTTGTATTAACCAAGTGTTAAATAATGAGAGAAATTCACTATTTAGGTCTGTAGTATATAAATACTTAAACTACCTAAGCTAATGAAACTTGACAAAGAAGCAATAACTTCATTAAATTAGTCAGATAATAAGGTAGTTGCTCTTTACACGTCATTGGTGTGTGCTGATGTCTTTGAAAGCTGCAAAAATGAGAATAAAAAAGTTTGCTTAATGCACTGGTTGCCACTACATCTATGAGACAGTAATCTGGAAGACTTTTGGCCTTTATAACATTTGTTAATCATAAAACCATTTTTCCTGCTATTTTTTCCATAAGCTGGAAAGCTGACTGAATGTTTTCTTGATCATTTTCAATGATGCTAATGGAAATGAAAATATTTGCTGACTAGAAGCCACAAAATTGATTTGTCTCCCTAACTCCACATTTCCTGAGGAGTTCTTTAACAGAAGCATGATGGCTTTGTCTGAGCATCTTTTTAGAAAATGAAGTATTAAAAAACATTGACTCTTTGTGAAAATAGAACCATTCTGAAAACTACTTAGTTTTGGAAATTAATATGACCTTAAATATTTTTGAAAAGGCATGCACTGCTGCCCCTGTTGTAGCATTATTTTGCTTAGGGAGCAATCATTTTTACTAAGAAGAATGTTTAATTTATAGATTGTTTTTTAAAATTATTTCTGTGTGTTTAATGGTGATGGTGTGAAGACTGGTAACTCCTTGTTATGGTTAACTCATAATTGAATATGGAAACACTACTTCATCTTCCTTTTTCAATTTCAAAAGTACCTGGAAATCCCCTTGGGATTACTGCCATAAAAACATGGATTTTGGGTGAAAAGCAGAGATTTGAGTCTTCTAAGCCTTTCAGGTATTTTTCAGTGTAGTGTGAGACTATGAGAGAATATTTTAAGTGGCACAGAAAATCTCTTTAAAATTATGTTCTCCATACCATTTGTTGGTATTATTTCCTGAAAATTGTGTAGTTCTTCTCTAGGCATTTTAGTTAATTTGCAGTTTGAAAACCTTCTGTGTTATTCAATATCAATTTAAAAACCTTCAGTAGCATAAATTGAGCTGGAGAATTAGAAGACTCTTGGCTAATAGTAATTAATTTGTGATGGCCCTTGTGCAGGAGGGTGAAATTTCTCTCTGTTGTGATGTTTATGTTATGTATAAATGTACAGTCATTGCATGATATTTTAATAATAAATGTGTTTAACTTCTTCTGAAGGTGAGGGTGGTGAGATCATCTCCACCAAGTTCACAGTTCAAAGCCACATTTCAGGAGTCTTACCAGGTCTATAAACGTTACCAGATGGTCATTCACAAGGACCCACCTGATAAACCATCCATAAATCAGGTCAGGAGGCCAAATTTAATTCTCTGCAAAGCTTCCCCTCCATTTCACGTGTCCTGTTTCTAGGGGAAACAAATGTGGATTTTATATCCATTGTATATTCAGGAGCTTGTAAAATACTGTATCCAATAAAATCAACGTCCTGAAAGTGCAAACTCTTGATACCTCTCTGTGAGTGCCACAGATATTTGGTTTTAGTTGCAGGCAGAAAAGTTCTGGATGCTGTTGGGTAAGAAATGGAGAGGGTGAGGCTCTTGGAGATAGAGATGGACCTTAAAAACACAAATCCCATAAGAACTGAATCCAGCTGGACACTCAGCCTGGTAACTGCTCTCCTTGGCTTTGGTTTGAGTGTTTCCATAAAAAGGATACAATGATCAGGGCCAACATTTGAGCAAAAGTTTGTCACACACACAAATTGTTGGTTTAAGGTTCACCAGAGTGAAATAATTCTCCTCAGTTTCAGTTTAAGCCTTTAAAAGTAACCTGTGCACTCCATCTGAATTTATAATTTGTTGCTGCCTCCTGCAATGAACAGGTGGAGTGTAAAAGTGAAATGTCAGATGTGTTACATCTCTATTCTAGAAGGAAAAAAAATATATCATGAGTTTGGAGAAACAGTCTGAGTAGCAAGAACAAGTAATTGTTGAACCAGGGCAATCCATGAGTGATGTGCCATTAAAAATAGAATATTTTAAGAAGTCCTTGAGACTGTGCAGTGAAACTAAAATTTGTTAGATATCAGTAAATATAGGAAGTTATTTTATTATTATTTTTAAGGTAGAAAACTGACTTCAGAGGCTTTGAAGTGCATAGGAGGAGATCTTTCACTAGCCTGACCTTCAGAAGCAGATTATGTGATGCCATGCACTCAAAACAGAATGCTTCTATTTCCCTTGCTCTGAAGGTGAGGTTAGTACCTGTCTCCTTTGAGGACCCCCAGTTCAAATCATCCTTCAACCAATCTGCCACTTTATTTGCCAAGTATCAGATGTCTGTACACAAGGACACACCTTCTGACTGTGGGGAGAACGAGGTACAGTTCACTGCATGCACCTTTCTGCCAACAGCTTCTTCAAATGCACCCCTAGATGCTGGGAAATGCTGATCTAAATATTCAGTCATTGAAACTGCCATTCCTGAGGGGTTTTTGATGGCAAAATCATCTCCTGCTTTAGAGTTCTTTGGTGCCTTTTTTATGTTTCTCCCTATTTGTTTGCATTTTTGCTTAATTTAACAGGTGAAGGTTTTGAAAATCTCAGTTTTATTCCCATTCCATTGCTAAGCACACTGCCTAGCTGGAACTCACCTTTACAGTAGGAATAGTGTAAAAATACCTCACCAGCTGGTCATCTGAGGCTTGATGAGAATATGTTGCATATGGATAAACCCTGCTCCTAAAAGGGTGTTTACAGAGGACAATCCTAATGTAATAAATGAAAAATAATTAAAAATACTCGTGGGGTTCTGAACAAGCAGCAGTTCTCCATTTCTCTGGCAGGTGGCACAACCTCCTCATTGGCATTGAATTAATGAAAATGCTACCTCAGATCTCTCTCTTCTATCTACTGCAGATGTGCAGCTTTATTATTGGTCAGCTAGTCAGGATTTTCTGTTCCTGAGAGTGAACTGTCTGCAGAAGTGAAACCTTGTAAACTGGGGCTGCTTTCCAGGTAGAATTGTAAAACCACATCATAATTTTTGGCTTTAGTTCAAGAGTGTAAGGAGAGCTGGGTTTTTATTTTTTTGTGAGATGTCTGTAATGCTACTCTGGAAAGCCATAAAATCCATTTCACTTTGTTTAGTAAAATAATAGCTCTCATAACAGTAAGTAGTACTCTCTACCCTTTTTATAATTGCTGGCCTAAGTGGGTTTAATTATAAAAATGTAAAAGTTGGAGGCATGCCAAGAGAGACTGAGCTATTTACTGGATTTGTACCCAGCATTACCTGGGCAGATTAGAGACTTGAATTTTCTGCTATGGTGGAAGCATTTCAGCATGGAAAGGTGTGTTAGGGACAGTCAGGTTTCCACCAGCTGAAGGTGTAAAGGCTGTCCTGGGAATTGCTGTTGGAAGGAGATGGATTTCTGCTCACTGCTAATAGTTTAACAGGTTTTTATCCTCTCTTTCCTTATTACTTGCCGTAGGGGTTTCCCTGCTTTGCCTTTATCTCCTCTCTTTGGCCTTATGTTTGTGCAGGCTTAGATAATTCCAGGGGAAACATAAAAACCTTCTCTGAAGCATCTACTGAATGTAAAAACTTGGTCTGATGCTGATGGGTTTGAATTTAGGTTCTTTTTCACCCTTGGTACATCATATTTATGTCCATGAGACTGCCTGGCCAAGAAGGATTTTTTTATTCACAATTAGGAACTAACACTCTCCCTTCAATCAACATTTTGTGTATTTGATCTCTGCAGGAAGTAAACTGAAGAATGTTTTACACAAAAATGTGTTTTCATGTAGTTTAGAGTCCTTTTTTTTTAATATTGAATTTGTGTGGGAAGAGTTTTCTGAGTCACTTCTAAGGTACCAAGTAGGGTAAAAGTGATCCAAGTTATTGAGAGGAAGGGTGGAAATGCTGCTTGTAAGACCTCAAAACTTTTTCTGCTTCCTCTTTTTCAGACTTTTTAATATATACTACAGACATTATGGAACCAAGGAGTTTTTTAAGCAGAGGGAATAAAATTCTCTCCTATACACAGGACCTTTTATCAGGATAGTAAGCAGTCTGCTTGCGCTTTGAACTGGCAAATTTCCAGGATTTTTGCACTTTTAATTTGTGCAGAATACAGTGTGAGGTTGTTGGGGGTTTTTTTAGGGAGAGTCCTGCACACTTTTGTGTTTGGAAAGTTTCTAGTTTAGAAAGAGTCTTTAGCTTTATATTAACACTTCATATTTAGAAACCTGCCTATATTTAAATTCAGAATCATACAAAGATTGTTATGAGACATATTGACAACTTCTTTTGGGAATATGTTCTTAGATTGTTGGCATTACAATGCACTATCTGTTGCTAGGCTAGTTTAATATTAACCTTATTATATTAAAAAGCAATTCTGAGAAGCAATTTAGAATTTTGGTGGTTATTTGAGAATAACACTAATGGGAAAAACTATAAAAATGTTCACAAATAGTAACAAAAGATATGTGAACAATGAAGCTGATTATTGCTCAGTGAGTGTGGAGAAGGCCTTTTTGCACCTCAGTAATGTAAATTCAGCTTTCCATCAGGAGTTTATGTGAGGAGGGAGAGTAGAGGATTGTCAGGGCAGGGAATTGTGGAATTCAACTTGGGGGCACTCTCTGGTTAATGCCAGTTTGAGCCCAGTGATAATTGGTGTTTTGGTGCCCTTCATGATGCTGAATCTCTTTAAATTTTGCCTTTTCCTCCTTTCCTTCTTCTATTTCCCTGCTGGAGACTGCACAGCACCAATTACAGTGTGTTCGTGAAAATAATTGGAGATTTTGCTGGGGAGAATCCTGCAGCACACTTTGGAGATGCAGTACTGATTACTGAGTGAGGCAGTGATTTCTCTGCTAATAAAAAGCAAGGTGGAAACTTGTGAAATCCACTTTTCCCAAGTTCCAGACTTGTGATGAAACTTTGCTTTCTATGGAAGCATCACCAAAATCTTCTGTTCCTCTTTCACTGGCAAGGAGAGGATTGGGTAAGGTAGAAATAGATTGTCTCTCTGCCAAATAGGTTAATATTCTAGGAGCAGTTTAAAGTATTCCCTTGCTCCTGGAATTAAAACCAATTTAGCTTGCAAGAGAAAAAAAATTTAAATTGGTTTTTATCTTGGCATAAAAGCCACAATTATTTTCTGCGTAGTCTTTTAAAATATTCATTATGCCATTTTTTTTTCTTAGTTGGTCTGGTACAAGTTGAATTTATCCTGGAAATCCTCTCACCCCTCTCAAGAACTTCTGATCACTTCCTGCAGGAATTCAACTTCAAAACTGACCTGGCTGTGTCTGTGCTTTGGAGTGGAGTCAGTTCCTGATGTTACACAAACTTGTTGGCACTGAAGAATGTTTCTGTCAGCATGTTTGTATTGTATGGAATTGGTGTCCTGAGGAAAAACATAGCAGGCAGTTTTCATACTGAAGGTTTCTTTATAGTCCTTGCTCTTAAATAGGGCTGAGGAAAAATTGATTTTTCAGTTTTCCTCTGTGGGAGCACAAAACTTTATTCAGCTACTGTGTAAATGCATGGGCATCCACTGTTTGAGGAATATATGTATTTTTATTATAGTTGTTGGAGAAAATGAGATTAATTAGGGGGAGCCTGAACAGATTGTGAAGTTAAAGTATAAATAGCAATGAAGGAGTTCAGATAAAATAATGGAAATTAGGAATATAGGTGTATCCCTGCCTATTGGAGAAGTTTATCTAAGGCTGCTCTTGAATTAGCCAAGTTCTGAGCTGCTCATTTTGGGAAGGTATTGAAATAATCTGGATTAGTGTTTGCCCCATTCTTTGCAGTTCCCCTGACCCTTTGTGAAAATGCCTGATGTGGCTCTTTATCTCAGGTTCAAAATGATGGTCCCATTCCCAGTATAATAAGACTGTCTTTTTTTATTTTATTTTATTTTCAATGTTTTCTTGTTTGTTGGGGTGTTTTTAAAGCAGTGGAAGATGTAATCATGCTTAGCATGAGGAGCTGTGTCTGTAACATACAAAACCCCCACAATGTAATCAATTGCAAGGATTTATTTGTTTGGGTTATTTCCTGGCTGGTTATATTTATTTTGTGAAGTGGGTCAAGCTGTAAGGAAAAGAAATTGAAATCATGAAAGCTTAGAAAAACTGAGAAATGGAGACCTCTAATGAGCAGAGAGATGAGAGTAGGCTGAGCATCCTTATATTGAAATAACCTTGGGACCCTGTGGCATCAGTGAAAGATCAGTTGGAGCATAAATTATAGAGCTGATCAGCATATCAAGAGTAAAATAATTATGCAAAAAATCATGTGGGTGAGGGTTTGTCCACCTTTTT